TATGAATATGAGCTGAGGTGATTTGAAATTAGGTTCAACATTGCGTTAAAGTTTATATATTATAGGGATGTGCATGTACTACTCTTGTTATAGGGATACTAATAATGAATTGGAATGATAAATACAGTATTTAGGTAAACTGAAAAAGAAGCTTTGTAGCACTGTGACATGTGCCTTTCAACTCACCATGTGCTGTAAACTCCGACATCTTCATCATCTCATGGGTTTAAAAAAAAAATCTTCTGCCATTAACTTCTAACAAGACCTCTATATGTTTACAAGTCAATTGATCTTCAACATCACTGATTAATATTCAAATGTGTATTATGATTTTGTCTAGAAATATTTCTATATGTTAATTAAACTTGTGCCAGATTTATTTCAAATATTTGAGACATTTTTCTGTTTGGGTCTGTTCTACAGGATATTATACAACAGGTGAAAAGGCTGACTTGGTCTCAACATAACTCCCAATCAGACTGTGTAAAGGCTAAACCTTTAATGGAAAACATTCTGTACATTATGCCTTTGCCAAACAAGGCTTGGCACTTAAACATTAACATTGTTACATTTGACAGACTACATCTTTCTCTTGTCATTTTTTAAAACACTTCCATCTCCAAATTGAACTTTGAAATAATTTTCTTACATTGACTCCTCCTCGACAGCTCTTAACAAGACAGCAAGATGTTGTGTGGCACTCTCGGCTCTTGTCAAGAGCAATATAGTAGTTCCACCATTGAGATGAAGGACACCCATGACACACAACTCCTACATCTGGAGGATGCTCGTGTGTTGACAGCCGTCACACCAGTATTTATGTTATTAAGACATTGCCTCCCTCCCATCTTTGTATTTTGTTCCATCCTAAATAACAGCATCATCCGTATCCCCACGACATCTCTAACTTCATGACAGGTGCTCACACTTATCTACCAGAAACGACAAATGTTTCTTAATCTTTGACCCCTCTTTAGAACACTGTTGACAATCCAGCTGACTTTTCGAAATGGAAAGTTAAGAAATTGACAGGAAAAGCTACATAATGATCCCTTTTGGACCATCTAATTGTGACCCATCCGTTGGCTTCCGAGCCAGACCCTTTTAGGGACCCGTAATTACCCCCATAGGTTGCCCCCTTGTGTGGATACACTGTGCAGGACAGGGCGGGGTTGAAGTGGCTTTTTTTCAGAGGTGATGACCATTAGAAAATGTATTTTGTCATGGTATTTTTACTAAATGGGTGTCAGTTTTGATAGAGGGTGTCAGACAATCATTACAGACAATTTTATGATTATGGTTACTTCTTACTTTGTTGTCATAGCGATGAGGTGTCTAGGTCAAACAGATTGGATTTGTTGACCTTGAGTAAAATTTACTTGATGGATACAGTTATTTTCAATTTTAACCAAACCAATGAAGATTTTGTTCTAGGAATAACTTGATTTTTATAAGTCAAAATGCAGGTGTTGATGAACAAAATGGCTTTCAAAGTTGACAGTGTTGTTTTAATTTGATTTTCACAATTGGAATATCAAGGCATTAGTGACACCAAAACCCCCACATATTTTAATTAGCATAATACCCTAATTTTGCCACTCATTCAGTGATCAAGGGATAGAGCATCTGATGAGAGCGCCTTGGTTGGTGGTTTTAGTTGCTTGGTACCAAAAGTGTGTTAAAATATTCAACTTGTTGTTACCTATTTCTGTCCTCTATGGTTGGCATCAAGGGGATATACTAAACTCAAGTCAGATTGCCAACCTCGTGAGTCAACATCAAGTGTCTTGGAAGCATTTCCTGTAAAACTGGGAAATGGTATCTCAATCACAAACTGTAAACTATGGATTCATACATGTTGCTATATGAGAGCAATATTCTTGGAAAACAGTGTTAAATTCCTTTATCCTCAATTGGCCTCATCAAAACTTCCAATTTGTATATTGGGATAATAAACACATAATTTTACTTCAGCTTTAATTTGTTATAAGAAAAATTTCATAACCAGCTTTAACATTGGATGTAATATTCAAGTAGTAAAGTTACAGATAACACTGGAAATTCCAATTCTTCCAGGACATCAAGAGCCCACCCATGAAATAGATGAGTATTGAATATGACAAGAATTGTTTCGCCAACGTTCCCCATCTGCTTACTGGGAGAACATGATACAGATGCTGCTAAAGATGTTTTGGAGCTCAGCCATCAAGAGCTACTCAAGAGGAAATATTTGACTATTCTCCTGATGTTCACTGACAGCCATTGCTGTAGTCCCATCCAGCTCCCTGTCTCATTCTCTCCTAATTTTCCATCTTAATGGCAGATTGACACCACAGGGTCTGTGGATTCATTGAATCTGGCACTTCAATTGATGCCATTATCTTGATAGACTTGAGTAAACTTTCTCCTTCTTTCAAAAACCTCTGGAAATAATCGCGCCATTAAGCAGATCATTTGCACATATTTAAACCAACCATATTCCTTTCCTTCCATGGCTTTTCATTATGATAATCATAAGAAGCGAAGAAGCTGTCATTTCCACAGCCTGGGCAGGGGATAGCTTGTCCAGCTTCACCCGATTGATATGTTTTTCTCTTCACTGCACTGGGATAATGTTTTAGGGGATTTTCAGTAAGTTCGGGATGTCCTTGAGTGGGATGAAATCAGGGGTGAGGAAGTGTGGAAATCAGGCAGATGCTGACATGGTTCGCTGGGAGATTACAGTGAATTGTGGGGCTTTGCCGGGCGATGAATTTGTACGGTTGTTCATTGTGGCATGTTGGGAAAAAGTGTATGAAAAGTTGATTGTTCCCTGTGGGAGATTAGTCGAGCTGGAATTGTGTTGGAGTGGAAGATGGTCAGGGTAGACGTGTCTGGAGTTTTTTGGGTTTAGTGTAGCATGTAGGTATGGTGTATGGCAGAACAGACTTGTCACCTGGGCGAGATTACTTTCTCACACGCCTCCCGACGTTCCTTCTGCTGCAGATTACACACGGTTCATCAATCATTCAGTCTTATAATTGTAGAGAGTCGTGAATTGACTTGTACAATTTGTTGTGGTACTTTTTCCTGAAGTGAGAGTTAATTGAATAAAGCAGATTGTGAATTGATGCTTTTGGGTGGTAATGTAGTACATGCTTCTTGAATAAAAGTTTCACTTTTAAGTGTCTTGGCGAATGTTTTCTTTGTCTTGATATGGAATATCAATGTTGCAATTCTTTAAATTAAGGATTGTGGTACATGTACATATGTGCCATAGTCCGAAAATGGGCTTCAGTAATCACTAAGAATTGTAGATTCTGTAAAATCTAGATGTTTATGTGCAGTGCTTGAAATTGTGTGAAAAGCTGGACAGCTAATGCCTCAGGGCAAGTTAACATTCAATGTTAGAATTGGTCTTTAGCAACCCATGCTTTTGTCATAAGAGGCGACTTGGGTGGTCAGGTTCGCTGACTTGGTTGAAACATGTCATCGTATCCCAGTAGCGTAGATCAATGCTCATGATGTTGATCACTGGATTGTCTGGACTCAATACTTTACAGACCACTGCCATATTGGTAGAATATTGCTGAGTGTGGCATTAAACAACAAACTGAAATTCAATGACAGTACTCCTTATTGACCAGTAGAAGTTTAGTTCTGTAATTCTGAACCAGCTCTTTATGCTTCAATGCTTACTGAAAACTGGAATTGAATAAAACTGACAGAAAGTGTAACAATAGGAAACAGGGCTGTGTATTGGCAAATAAATTGTATTGCAGTATATTGTGATTCTGGAACCTGTATTCCCGTATATATTGTAAGTCTCTGTGTTGTGTGACGGTGAGTGAAATTAATTGTTAATGTAGAGCCTATTTTCTACATACTAAAGCCAAAAAACAAATGTTATGGTTGTGATAACAGAAATCTTGAATTTAGATTTGATTTTGAGGGATTCAATTTTCCTATTTTATATTATTTATAGTATGTAAAGTATGCTGTTTTGTCAATTAATTACAATGGAAAAGTTTGAGTATGAAGGAATGTCTATGTAAATTTTAACTTAAACCATAGAGATAATCACAAAACTTCATATATGTTTTTACTCAATATACAGGTTCTGAGCAGAAAGCATTGTAATACGCATCATGTGAAAGGCGGCGCATTGCAATAGCGGTAATACAGTGGAGGCCTAATGGGAAACACTTAAGTCTTGTTCATGGAGGACTTGTATCCAACACTGAGAACATGTGGGTTACTAAATATGACTAAAACATCTCAGAGAAACAACTTTCAACAGGAAACAGCACCTCAGACAATTGGGCCAGATGTAACTTTGACATTTCATGCAACCACAAAATCTACGTTCCACTTTTATCTATGTTCCACTTTTATCTATGAACCCCAGTGGAAGGAAACTAAGCGTTACTGTGTTATATTTTATTACAGGTAAAATCATTAGGGGAGGGGGGGACAATGATACCAACCGAGCTTTGATCTACACACTGGGTAATAACGCTGCTCAAGCAAACAGAAGAGGGAGGTGTTTGTAGGGGTGCCGAACGAGGGGAGGCGCGCCAGGCAATGACCCAGAATGTCCATCTAAGCTCTCAGGTTTCTTTCAAATGGGCCCATTGTAGCGAGACTCCGGTATGTCAATGATAGGTGTTTTGAAGACGGTTGGGGACTCTCCATTAGAGATCAGTGGCCCAGAACAGAAGCGGGTAGACTACAGTCACGATGAGGCAGGGAGTGTCTTCAATGACACTGCAGTGTAAGATTCTCAATATCCTTCACGTGTTCTGCAGCTGCTTTCGGTCATCATCGACCAATCAAGTCCCGCTATATTAAAACTTAACAGTACGCGACGTGCCTGGCACTCTCTTGGACGCAAGCCAGGATCATTTCAGCAAGCTTTGAGTGAATTATGCGCAAGTCAGCGTGAATCTGGTTTCATCAGATTAGCTCTATTCACTGGCCCAACTTATAACAAATGAGGTTTAGTCTTGTATGTAATTTATTCAGGTTTAAACCTGGACATGCCGTGAGAAAATTTGCATTTCTGTTGATTTGATATTCCTCAGCCTGAATTGAGGAAATCCCTACTTTTCTAAACCAATTTCCGGTAAAGCTTTGGATTTGATGGTCTGTTGCAATATTTGGCAAAATAAACATGGCAAGGTAAATGTTTATTGTTATGATAATGATGGTTGTCCAGCGTCCAGGATCCCTGCATAGAAGCATCCCTGTATGGAAGCACCCCCCTTGCACCATGTTGCTTACACACACGAGGATACTGCTCAGAGGGAGATGTGCATAATCCCGGCTTCAAAGAGCCATTCTTCCAGATTTCCTGGGATCACCAAAGTAAATCTGAAACAAATTTCGGTCCTTTAAAGGATAAATCTTTACTGTGTTGGTGACACACATTGGTTTTCCTACCCAATCAGGTTCCATCAGCAGTTTCTTGTGTACTCTTGGCCCCAAAATAAAGTTTGCAAAAGGTTTAATAAAGATAGTTTATAAAAGTTATATGACCCTTGACTATTAAGGAACCTAAGTCTCTAATTTAGTAGTGGTAGATACGTATGGGCTGGTAGAGCTGAGATGAGGAAGGCTAATTGCTGGTAGAACTGAGACATCTTGGATGGTAGAGCTAAGAATGGGAAGACATCTTGGATGGTAGAGCTAAGAAAGGGAAGACAACTTGGATGGTAGAGCTAAGAAAGGGAAGACATCTTGGATGGTAGAGCTAAGAAAGGGAAGACATCTTGGAAGATAGAGCTAAGAATGTGAAGACATCTTGGATGGGAGAGCTTAGAAAGGGAAAATATGTTGGAAGATAGAGCTAAGAATGGGAAGACATCTTGAAGGGAGAGCTTAGAAAGGGAAAATATGTTGGAAGATAGAGCTAAGAATGGGAAGACATCTTGGATGGTAGAGCTAAGAAAGGGAAAACATCTTGGAAGATAGAGAGAATGGGAAGACATCTTGGATGGGAGAATTAGAAAGAAAATATGTTGGAAGATAGAGCTAAGAATGGGAGACATCTTGGAGAAGCTTAGAGGGAAAATATGTTGGAAGATAGAGCTAAGAATGGGAAGACATCTTGGATGGGAGAGCTTAGAAAGGGAAAATATGTTGGAAGATAGAGCTAAGAATGGGAAGACATCTTGGATGGGAGAGCTTAGAAAGGGAAAATATGTTGGAAGATAGAGCTAAGAATGGGAAGACATCTTGGATGGGAGAGCTTAGAAAGGGAAAATATGTTGGAAGATAGAGCTAAGAATGGGAAGACATCTTGGATGGGAGAGCTTAGAAAGGGAAAATATGTTGGAAGATAGAGCTGAGATGGAAAAGAATCTTGGCTGCTGAAGATGAAGAGTGAAGGCTTCTAGAGCCGAGAAGTGGATCACTCTTGGTTGCTAGAGCTAAAAGGGGATGAGTATGGGCTGTCAGGGTTGAGGAAGGGCTAGATACTGGATGCCAGAGCTTAGCAGAGGCTTGTGTAAAAACATTATGTTTCTTGCGAGGCTGCTGCAGATTTTACATGAAGAGCAAAGATGGCCACCCTGACAAAAGTTGAGTACCCTGAAGGATTCAGGGCCAGTGGAGATCCCCTTGTCACACCGAAGACCCAGGTTCGATTCCCCACATGGGTACAATGTTTGAAGCCCATTTTTGTTGTCCCCTGCCATGAAAATTGCTGGAATATTGCTAAAAGCGGTGTAAAACTAAATGCACTCACTCACTGTTTTTCCATATTGAACTTGTATCATAATTACAGGAGCGGGAAATATTTAATCTTAAGAAGTACAAAATATAAGTGGTGAGGTGAGGTGAGGTGAAATTGGGTTTAACATCGTGCTTGAGAATATTTCGGTCATATGACGACGTGCATGCGTGTGTATGTGTATGTGTATGTGTATGTGTATGTGTATGTGTATGTGTATGTGTATGCTATGCTTGTACTAGCCCAGACTGAAGCTGGGTTTATAGAAATATCCACTCAGACACATCATACTGACTCCGAGCCGACCAGTCCTTGTTGTACCCATTAATGCCGAGTGCCAAACAGGGACCAACAAGTACCATATTTTAACGTCTTTTGGTATGACACGGTCAGGGTTTGAACCCGTGACCTTCCGCTCTCTGGGCGGACGCTCTAACCACTACACCACGGAGGCGGTCACAAAATATAAGTAACCCCGAAACCATACCTATACCTATACAGTCATATACCTGTAATATACAGGGGGGAACAAGGTAGTCATCAAAGTCACATGAACCAAACCTTTTCATAAAAATATGACCATGATTCTCAAGTTACGCCAAGATTTTCCACAGAATATATGCTTGTTTGCATAGCGTGACAGCAAGTTGTTGAAGACGGTGGGTCTGAATGGTCTCAAAGTGTGGTCGTCCTCTGTCATGGAGAGTCATGGTGGGCTTGTTGAACTTACAACTCAAAAATGTAATACCGTAACTAATCTGTAAATGAAGAAAAATCACTTGTTTATTATGTAAAATATATCTATTCTGAACAAATTTTGTTGGAGGGATATTCAGTATTTTTGTGGATATTTTTAATGATTGGGTTCTCTGTCTTCTACAAAACAATTTCCTTAATAGAATTTATGATCCCTAACTTTTTAGTTTGGTATAGAATCATCCCAAAACTGGGAATCTCTTAAGAAAATTACAGATTGTTTCGGTGATTAATTGTATATATGTACAAATATTATTTACGTTATTTTAAGATGACAAATACAGATGACACATTATTTTTTAAGGTATATTTTGAAAATTTGTTTGGTTAAAAACTTTGCTTTTGTCCCCTGTTTAAATTCTCATTGAACCTAAAAAAATACTTTTCTATATTTAAGGCTTGCTTTATTAGAGTAATTACGATAAGTAACTAAAGTGTTGTCTTGAATTTGTCAGCAGCTGTATAAATAAGTCTCTGCAATAACAAAACAGGGGGTGTTCAAAAATGCTAATTTCATTGGACTAAGATTCACACTTTCAAACATTTAAGAGTTTACTTTGCAATGTGATTGAATAGGGAATGTTACTTTTGTCAACATCCAGTACACCATTTGTGTTTTTACAGTTATGTTCAACATCATTCAATGGAAATTCAGTGTTGAAATTACTTCAAGAGTTTTTTTGATTTGGTGATTCGGTGATTCGATGCGGTGGTCCGTCTACTTGAGAACAGTTATTTTCAACAGTGCCAATTCATGTATTTGGATTCAAATGTAGTTTGTAATGGAGAAAAGATGAGAATCTGTTGTGTTTACTTTCAGAATCAGGAGAGTCCAGTAATTTCGACTTAAACCATTTTATGGCGGATGTATAAGTTGTCTATCATTTTTAATAATGACTTAGTATAGTGTAATTGTTATTTGTTAAAAAAGCATGTTCAAAACAGAAAGTGAATCCTGGTTCAGAATCAAGTTCAACAATTTTTATGATTTTATCTTAATGATTTACATTTATGTAAATGTTTTATTGTTTTATTTATGTTTTATTGCGAGATATGAGTGAGTGAGTGAGTGCTATAACAGTCACTGTCGTCCATCAAATTTGCTGCGATGGGGTATCCAGGTGTAATGAGTGTAATCTCAGTGTAATCTAGTGGAAAGAGCATTGGCTGGTAGTACTGAAGACCCATGGTTACAATGTGTGAAGTATATTTCTGGTGTGCCCCTCCCGCCGTGATATTGCTGGAATATTACTAAAGCAGTGTAAAACTAAACTCACTCACTCACTCCATGAATTATAACTGAACAGTGTAACATCTTGTACAAATCATAACTGGGGTGGAATGGGTAGATAAGTAGAACATATGTGTAAAATATAAAATATCGCAGCAAGCTAACATCATTATTGCATGTGTAATGAGTTGTCCAGCAATTAGTATTCGCAACTTGAATAAAACATGATAACTTAAGTTATTCTTTTTAACCCTTAACTAAGTTAGGGGTGATTAAACAATTTTCTGCCATACTTTTGGGATATCCTGTTTTTCAAATGTTTAATGTAATTTAATGAAAAGAAATGTTAAAGTGTTCAAACTTTTAAACACAAAAAAAAAGAATTCAGTACTTAGAGTGAGTCTGACAACTTTGCCTCCACATTGAACGACATGGAGTCCCTCAGTATAAAGTAGAAGCCGGACCTTTACATCATCAGAAATATATTTAAGATATGCGAGCAAGTCTCCCTTGACCTCATCTTTGCGTGTTATGTCTCGTGTATGTCTTTTGAAAGAATCCGGGAGCTGTGAAGCGTACAGATGGGTGTGACCTTTCCGAGAAGCATGATGGAGATAAAAACACATAAACGCCACGCGCCAAGCACCGACTCACCCGTCCCGAGCTGATCCCGGCGCTCACAGGGTTACGATAGAAGCGTGGTAGCTGAGTGGGCTCAAAATGTATAGGATTTGTCAATGCATAATTAATACTATTCAAACAAGCAGTCCTTTCAGAATCTTTATCTTCCACACGAGTTGGACCAGACTCAGGGCATCCATTTGGGATCTTCAAACATCGCCCTAACTTGCTGATTGAGATCTTTTGCTACATAAAAAGACAGAATTCTTTACGTTTTGTCAAAAAACTGGCAGTGCTGCAGGTACTCTCAGAGTTGAAATGTCACATTGTCACTTGGTCTGTGAGTCTGTAAATACTTCAGAAATTCAGTCAACAGATTGCTGTTTGCTTAGGTTGCGAGTTGTAGGGCGTCTTGTTGTAATTATGTGATGTGCACTAATGGTTGAAGACAAACTTGTTGTGTCAATATATATGGACAAAGGGTCACATGATCACGGAAATGGTGTAAACGGAATAATTGGAAAGCTTGAAAGAGCTGCAGAGATATGTCTTTGGGAAAATATTCAAACACAGATTTAGTGTTTAGAAGATTTGCTTTGCCTCAGTGTAAGCAGATTCTTGTACCCAATGCCTGTTAGATGGGACTAAAATGGGGATCTGAGGGCAGAGTCTGGTCCCAGTACCCCACGCTTGTTAGTTTGGACTAAACTGGGGATCTGAGGGCAGAGTCTGGTCCCAGTAGCCCAGGCTTGTTAGATGGGACTAAACTGGGGATCTGAGGGCAGAGTCTGGTCCCAGTAGCCCAGGCTTGTTAGATGGGACTAAACAGGGGATCTGAGGGCAGAGTCTGGTCCCAGTACCCCATGCTTGTTAGATGGGACTAAACTGGGGATCTGAGGGCAGAGTCTGGTCCCAGTAGCCCAGGCTTGTTAGATGGGACTAAACAGGGGATCTGAGGGCAGAGTCTGGTCCCAGTACCCCAGGCTTGTTAGATGGGACTAAACTGGGGATCTGAGGGCAGAGTCTGGTCCCAGTACCCCAGGCTTGTTAGATGGGACTAAACTGGGGATCTGAGGGCAGAGTCTAGTTCCTGTACCCCACGCTTGTTAGATGGAACTAAAATGCGTGTCTGAGGGGAGAACTGACCCCAGTACCCTAAGCTTGTTGGATAGTGTACTAAACTGGGGGTCCAGGGCAGAGTCTGGTCCCAGTACCCCACAGATATAAGATGGGACTAAAACTGAGGTATATAGGAAAAGGTCCACAAGGGCACATGTTTGTTATATTACCTGCCATGATACGGTATTACTATTGCAAAATTAATGCAACAAAACCCTTTCCAAATTCACAAGAAATATTTCTCAAAGAGCAGAGTTGAGATTTTAGACTTGATCATGATCATTTTTTTTGGGAGTCCCTATCAAATAGAGATGATACCAGTTTTTATCCATAGGTTCAGGTTTGAAGGTATTTAAAAAAAGTCCATTTTCCAGTATATATCTTTAAATGAGTTTTTTCAACATATACCTATTTCTATCACAAAATAAGAAAACCAACCTGTTTCAATCATCACCATGAAACATTTTTGAGCAGGCGGATTTGTAAGTCAATATGTAAGCATCTCGTGTAATGAGTGTAATCTCATTGTTGACTGAACTTCCCTGTGCAACAGGTGCCCCCGACCGACAACCAAGCTGTTACCCACACTTCCTTGTCTTGAAAGTTATGAGGTGTATTATTAACTACATTATCATTTGGGTGATAAGTCAGTATATTTTACGTGTTAAATAAAATCAACACTGAAATATCACTCATAATAATGAAGAAGTAACAATTCATATTGTAATAACATATACTACTCAAAATATGTTAAAGATCACCCAATTCTTTCATAATGTGGTGTCAGGTCCTTAATTTCTTTTGAGCAGTTATAGTTGTAATAATTCAGGTATGACAAATTGTACAGGTTCTACTGCCTGCAATTCTTCTTCTGTCCTGGGTCACGATATGGCTGAAATATTGCCGATGTGACCCTAAATATTAACTCACTCACTCTTCTGTCCTGGACAAACAAATCCTTTGGATTTTGTTGTTGATAAATACCAGTATGTCTTTAAATAATTTTAGATAAGATAACTTATGTTTGTGGGACTAAATGACAGTGTTGTAGTCAGATTCGCTGGTTTGGTTGATACGTGTTATGTGTTATCCTATTCCAACTGCATAGATCAGTGCTAAGTGTTTTGCAGTTTTGGAATTTGTACTTTAATAAGAAAGTGTAATCCCAAATATGACATATGTTACATTTGACCACTTTCTAAATGGCATTGTGCAATCATAGCTTTCGGACGTGGGAGCCATGCCAATTTACACTTATCAGAGGGGTACACAAAGTCTGCAGTCTAGACTACCAGTTGTCCGACTTCCATTTTGTGGAAGTCACAGTAGCTGAGTGGGTTAGGAGGCTGACTTTATGTGCTGGCGATTTGGTGCCTGACTCTGAGGGTATGGGTTCGAATCCCGGATGGGACTCAACCCCAAAAGTACTAGAATTTGTACTTTACTAAGAAAGTGTAATCCCAAATATTAGATATGTTACATTAAGGAAACATCTTCATATAGCTAGGATGTTGCAGACTATGCACACATGCAATGTGTGCATGACTTGAATGATTATAGGTTACAAAGCAACTGTAGGCGGGTGGCCTGACCATAATGTTAAATCATGATGTGAGGTTTCAAATCAACAGTAGGATTATGGCTTGACCTGATGATTTTTATTTGATTCTGAAGTGTCAAATCAACAGTAGGATTATGAATTTGCTTGAAATCAACAGTAGGATTTTGGCTTGACCATTACTTGAATTACTGAGGAGGTTCAAATCAACAGTAGGATTATGGCTTGACCATGATTACTAAATTTGAGGTTTCAAATCAACAGTAGGATTATGGCTGAATGATGAGGAATTTGAGGTTTCAAATCAACAATAGGATTATAGCTTGACCATGATTTTTAATTACTACTTGAATTTCAAATCAACAGTGATTATGGCTTTCATTTTGAATTACTGAAGGTTTCAAATCAACAGTAGGATTATGGCTTGACCATGATTTTTAATTACTAAATTTGATTTCAAATCAACAGTAGGATTATGGCTTGACCATGATTTCTACTGAATTTGAGGTTTCAAATCAACAGTAGGATTATGGCTTGACCATGATTTTTTGAATTACTGAATATGAGGTTTCAAATCAACAGTAGGATTATGGCTTCTGACCATGATTTTTTGACCATTACTGAATATGGAGGTTTCAAATCAACAGTAGGATTATGGCTTGACCATGATTTTTAATTACTAAATTTGAGGTTTCAAATCAACAGTAGGATTATGGCTTGACCATGATTTTTAATTACTGAATTTGAGGTTTCAAATCAACAGTAGGATTATGGCTTGACCATGATTTCTAATTACTGAATATGAGGTTTCAAATCCACAGTAGGATTATGGCTTGACCATGATTTCTAATTACTGAATATGAGGTTTCAAATCCACAGTAGGATTATGGCTTGACCATGATTTTTAATTACTGAATATGAGGTTTCAAATCCACAGTAGGATTATGTCAGGTCCATGAAGAAAGTATAAATTTCTCTGGTGAAGGAATATGGCAACTTTGAGGTAAACAGCCATTGATAATCATCATAAGTTGCATGAAGTCTGGAAATACATAGGTCTGGTAGCATTTGTCTTTCATATTCAGGGTCGGTGGGGTAGCCTAGTGGTAAAAGCGTTGACTGGAATGTTGCTAAAAGCGGCATTAAGCCATACTCACTCACTCACTTTCATGTTCACCATCCCTGATAATTTATAAGTCTTTTCACAGGTTCAAGTGACATAAATCTAAGTTTATCTGTCTTCATTTATCTTCTAACTTTAAGATATAGCTCAAATGATTAATTAATTATTACCTTAATTACTCAATGCAATAGTTTCCTGTGTGGAACAATAGCAGATATAAAATGATTGGAAAGTGTCTTAATTAAACTTCATAGATGTAAATTGATTGGAAAATGTTTTAATCCTTCTCTGAAACTAGATATTTTCACAAGGGATAGGCCCATTAGCAAACACCAACAATCTTTTAATCACTCAATAATTTTCACAATTATTTCCTCCCTTGAATGGATCAAATCACATAATGGGAAGAATATCATACAAATGAAGCTATAACAGCTAAGTCATCTCTGTTACAGATCCAGGCCCAGTACAAAGAGGTTCAAATATTGCTGTAATTTGTCAGAGCTGATCTTTTAAGGTTTACAGTAATAATCAAGGTCTAAGATAACAACCTTGCTATACCACCTGTTTCAATATCTCTTATCTCTGATTGGCTGATTTCAGTCTAGCATGTAATTTGATTGGTTGATGTTATCAATAATGCAGGGGATGAGGTGACATTCTATCACAGATTTTAGCGCTGTTAGCAGGTGCTTGCAGTCATACTTCAGACTGTAAGGTAAATAAACATGGCTATCCTGTGTAGCCATTATAAGACTCAATAACATAAAATATTCAGGGTTAGCTTGTTCACATTATGAACAACTGAGTGGGTTTATTGAAAAGTAACTCCCAGATATTACGGTTGCTCACAAGATTGGAGACATATAGGGTACTGAAATACATTTATTATTTGAAAATAATAAAAGAAAAATTTATGTTTCTTGCTCATATGAGTGCAATTATTGATGCTTATGTCCAGATGTTTTATGTGTATCCAATAGTGTTCACAATGGGATGTGGTTGTTTTTATGGCTTTTTCCCTGTAATCTTTTATGCCACAGTGTTCCTTTTGTGATGGAAGGGAGTCATGCTCGCTTGTGTAGCTGATATGAAAGACCAGTTTCATTTTTATTACTCAGAAATCAGTTGGTGGACAAGATATAGAAATTAAACCAAAGCAGCTGCTTGCAAATGAATTGAGACTTTTCATATACTGGATATGAAGTATCCAATAATTTGTTAATTTTTACATCCAGAAATAACAAATAAATTGTTATTGTATATACTTTTGAATTGTGTTTATATATACTACCCATCAAAAGTTTGGACTCACCTAAAGCATTCAGTATATGTTATGTATATATATATGGTTACATCGAAGAAGAATTTCTCCACTAACTTCGGGGAACCAACTGCAAAGTTTTTGCAGATGAATTGTATGAGGATTATGCATCAAATAGCTAAAAAGCATGTGCAAATATCGTTCATGTGAACAGCTATGTTTTGGTGTAAAGTTTTGTAAAGAATTCGCCAGTTTTCACTGATTTTCATCATTTACTGAATTCATGACAATAATCTTTTCAACGTTACGAATTTTCTTTACAATACATTAGTTCATGTGTAAACAGTACCTTTAAACTGAATGGAATATTTTGCAAAGTTTAGAACAGTTGACTGAAGTAAGTGGCTACATTTACACTAGTGAGTCTAAACTTTTGATGGGTAGTATATATACTGGATAAGAAATACCAATTGAACAGTTATTATATATC